GGACTGTGGCGCCCCACAAATCTATTGTAAGCTAGACTAGACTGGAAAGCTGCAGAGCTCATGGCCCAGGATAGTGTCAAGTCCAGGCGGTCTACCTCCTGGAGGACAGTAGCACACAGGGAATAAGAGAGAAGAGTAGCATACAATACTGAGGAAGGAATGAAGTCCCAGCAAAATTGATAATCCATGGAGAGGTGAAGAAGACCTTCCCCTCCAGAACTTAGATCAGTTTTATACTGGGTTGCATCTTGATCACCCTTGCTTGTTAAGCTCAGGGCCCCGTATGCCAAATGTTCTTCTTTGTCCTCTTTTACCAGTTTGATTCATTCAACAAATATTTATTTATTATTATTATTTTTTAAATTTTATTTATTTATTTGACAGAGAGAGACACAGCAAGAGAGGGAACACAAGCAGGGGGAGTGGGAGAGGGAGAAGCAGGCCTCCCGCAGAGCGGGGAGCCCGATGCGGGGCTTGATCCCAGGACCCTGGGACCATGTCCTGAGCTGAAGGCAGATGCTTAACGACTGAGCCACCCAGACGCCCCACAACAAATATTTATTAAACATTCCTATATACCAGGTAAATTACATAGTAGATAAAATAGAAAAAAATTCCTTGTCCTTGTGGAGCACACATTTCAGTGAAGTAGTAAAAATTTCCCCCTTGCACAAATTCCCTTCCAAGGCACATATCCACCCCACCTCCCGCCCCAAACTTCTTCCTCTTACCAAAACTCAGCCTTACACCAGTGGTATAATTGTGAAATGTGTCCTCTTTGGTGTTCATTTTGTTCTTGACCCACATAATTGGCTTTTTTCCTTTGGTTGGTTGTATGATGTAAGTTTAAAGATAGAGCAGAGGAAAGCCTAGAATTCCTGCCAGTATGGGGTAGGCAACAGATGTTTAGGTTAAACAGTGAGACAAGATTTATAGACTCCTTTTAGGTTTTTATTGAGAACAGATTGGAAATCTAGTTAAGCATAGGATAAAGATAAGGGAGATAACTGGAAGAAAGGCAGCTAGACAACTGCTTTGGGTATCTGCTATGTGCAGAACACTAGCATGGTAAAACAGAAGGGGTGTTAGACTAGAAATCAGTCTAACCAGATTTTCTTTTTTTTTTAATTTTAATTTTTTTATTAAAGATTTATTTATTTGAGAGAGAGAGAGAGAGGGAGCCCAAGAGGGGGTAGGGTCAGAGGGAGAAGCAGACTCCCTGCTCAGCAGGGAGCCCGATGTGGGACTCGATCCCGGGACTCGGGATCATGACCTGAGCCGAAGGCAGTCGCTTAACCAACTGAGCCACCCAGGTGCCCCAGATTTTCTATTAAGTATCTGGAATAAGTGTCTTTCTGGGCTTCGTTTCCTTTGTCTGTAGATTGGGAATAAAACTAGACCAGTGAGTGGTTCCCAACACTGTACTTTTTTTCTTTTTAATCTTTTTATTTATTTATTTATTTGACAGAGACAGCGAGAGAGGGAACGCAGGCAGGGGGAGTGGGAGAGGGAGAAGCAGGCTTCCCGTGGAGCAGGGAGCCGGATGCGGGTGCTCTATCCCAGGATCCTGGGATCCTGACCTGAGCTGAAGGCAGATGCTTAATGACTGAGCCACCCAGGTGCCCCACCAATACTGTACATTAAAAACACCTGGGAGGCTTTTACAATTCTATTTTTGGAGGGTAGGGCTTGGACCTATTTTCAGAAGCTTGCGTCAATATTATTACTCCAGGTCTAGGTTAAAAACAACTGCATTGGATCAATGGCACTCCCAACTGGCATCATAACATTTTAGGAAATAAGTGTAGCATCCCTTTAACAACTGTAGCTATAGAAAAACACAAAGGGAGTTGTTGGAGAGATTAATGTTAAGATACCAATTAAGAAACACTCGCTGGGGTGGCTGGTTGACTTCTGTTGGTAGAACATACAACTCTTGATCATGAGGTCATGAGTTCAAACCCCTGGTTGGGCATGGAGCCTACATAAACATGTGCGCTGTGCGCGCATGCGCGTGCGCGCGCACACGCACGCACACCGGTGTAGCAAAGATGGTAACAATGTTCTTTTGTAACTTTTTCATTACTGTCTTATTTTCCTGCATATTTTAGGAGCATTACATTTTTTCCTATAGCTTCTTAACAATGTTGCTTAATAAGCAGTTTTGAATTTCCACACATCAACAGCAAGTTTCAGTTGCTGTTTAATGTCACTGGAAGACTTAGTTAATCCATAGACTTATGAATGAGAGTAAGCAGTGGGGCCTGGAAAAATCTCAGCATGCCCAGCAACAGTGATACATGAGAGCCATTAGTGGGATGAGAATTCATAATACTGGTAAATATTCCTTATTATTTCCCAAAGGATAACTTGGAAGACATAGTCTTTATTTTCCCATACATTCTTTTATGTAATTAGTAACCGAGGTAGTAGTTTTGCAGAGAAACTTATTTTTTAGATAATCAAAAAATGTCAGAGTTGGAAGGAGGAAGCTACTTAACAGTTGAATTCTTTCCTCAGTATCTTAGAAAAATGGTTGTCTAAACCATATTGGGATCTTTCAGTTATCTGGGAACTCACTCTTGAGGAAGTGTATTCTATCTTTGGAAAGCTTTGATCGTTAGAAAGTTGGTGGGTATTTTGTTTTTGTTTTTAATTTGAGAGAAAGTTAAAATCTGACTCTTGAGTCCTTTGGGGCCATAATAAGATCTATTTCTGCTTCATGCTGAAAATTTCTTTAGTTGATTGAGGACTAGGTTCACATTTTGATTTTTCTTGGCCAATCACATCTGTCCTCCAGCTTTTTTTGTATAGCTTGGATTGGAAACACTTGGTCTAACTTATTTATATCCTTTTGAAATGTGTTACCACACAGAATGTATCTTTTGGAAGAGAGGTGTTTGCCAGCCTTCAGCAAGAGATTTCTTACTTTGTTCATACTATGTCCTGTAAGTTAATTTATCTTAGTCATGCCACACTGTAACTCTTACTCTTGACTGGTATGTTTTTAAATTTGTCTTAATTTTCTGCTCATAGCTATTTGTAAATTTGCCTACTTAGATATGGCTATAAGACTTCATATTTATTTTAAATTTGATCTATCAACTCTTTTGAATCTTAAAAAATTTTTTTAAAGGTTATGTATTTTTAAGTAATGTCTACACATAACTTGGGTCTCGAACTCAAGACCCCGAAATCAAGAGTCACATGCTCTTCTAACTAAGCCAACCAGGTGCTGCAGTTCTTTTGAATCTTAATCCAGTGAATTCACTATTTTTTTTAGCTGGGGATATTGTACTATAAAATAGACGTTCATATCCTTTGTTATATCCAGGTTGTTGGTGAAAAAGTTAAGACAGAGTCATTTCTAGGTACTTACATATAAAGCTTAAGGCGCAGACTTATGTGCCAGTCATTGTTCTAGTCTGTTTCTTGGTACTAGAAACATCCGTCTGCTTGACACTGGCATTTTTTCTTTTTTTTTTTTTTTTTAAGATCTGCCTCCTAAATCTTCTGTAAAACCTCAAGCATTCTTTTCTTAGCTTTTCCTAAGGTTAGTTTGCTTCCTCACACATTTTAAATCCAGTTTAAATATATCCTCTTCAGAAAGACCTTTGATCACCAAGCAGCCTCTCATTGTAAGGGGAGCATTACTATTTTATTAAACCTCTTAACTGTATTCAGAGACACAATTATGGTTAATTATTTGTTTCCCCTCTTCTGAATGTCAGCTCCATGAGGTCAGAGACTGTATGTATCTGTGACAGTTAGCTCTGTGTCCCTAGCACCTAGCATAGTGCTTGGCACAAGTAGGTACACAGTTAATTGAAGGAATGACTTTACTATTATAATGTTTGTCATACTTTAACTTTATGCATAGTTTGTATAACAGAATCAAAGGCAATATTTACTATACCTTTTCAAATTACTGTATTCTCTTTTTACCAATTCTGAGACATTCTATTGCTAGGATAGCATACTTGGAATTGGAAAATCTGTTTTACTTGGATCATCCATTAATCACATCTGTAAATATCTTTGTATCCAGCCCAATTTTTTCCCTTCAATTTTCCCACTAAAGGATTTCTTGAAAGATATTATCAGTTGCTCAGATAACATGTAAAAATGGGCAGATTTTTAGGAATTTTTGTCTCAAGAGAAAACCTCTGGTTGGGTAAATAATGTCTAATTGGAATTCTAAGTAGGAGGATCCTAGGTTCAATGGGAGTATGTTTTATTTCCCTGATACGTGCTTGTAAATAGGATTTTATACCTGTTTTTTGTGGAGTTATATCAGGTCTTAATAAATTTCTTTTTACTAGTTCACCTAGAGTCTTGTCTGGAATCCTTATCAAGGTTACTGGTCTAATGTTTGAGGACTCCATCTTTATTTGAAAATCAGAATGTTCTGGGCGCCTGGGTGGCTCAGTCATTAAGCGTCTGCATTCAGCTCAGGTCATGATCCCAGGGTCCTGGGATCAAGTCCCACATCGGGCTCACTGCTCCTCGGGAAGCCTGCTTCTCCCTCTCCCACTTCCCCTGCTTGTGTTCCTGTGCTCGCTATTTCTCTCTGTCAAATAAATAAATAAAATCGTTAAAAAAAAAATCAGAATGTTCTTCAAAGAGTATTGACTATAATCTGCAATTTTATTTATATATTTTTAGTTTAATTTTAAACTAATGTTATCTTTTTCTGTGTTAATGGGCTAAGTGAAATTTGATACAGAAGCTAGAAGCTTTTTTCAGATTTTTATAGTTTTCTTTGTTTGTTCTTAAGTACAAAAGTAATCACTATTCCCATCTGTTGGTAGAATTGATGTGGATTTCTTTCTGGTATCGTTTTATACTTATCTATGAAATTTTGTAATTTGAATGTCCATAAATAAAGAAGCATCTGTAAGACTTAATATGTATTTTGAAGAGAATTGTGGTTGTTAATGAATTTTTGAAAAATGTGTTTACTGTTTCAGTAATATGTTTTTTTTCTCCCCCCCTGCCAGAGAATGGATCTTGGAGAATGTCTGAAAGTTCATGACCTGGCTTTAAGAGCAGATTATGAAATTGCATCCAAAGAACAAGATTTTTTCTTTGAACTTGATGTATGTGATTTTGCATTAATGGGGTTTTTTTTGTAGTAAAACATTTTGAATATGGGTTAATATCTCCATAGGAAAAAGCTCTTAGCAAATTATCTTCTTTGTGTTTATATGGAAAATAGTACTAAAGTAAGATCATGTATTTTCTTGACTAACAACATTTTTTTAAAAAATAGAAGGTGAAACTAGGTATTTTAAGAAAATGTGTAAAAATCCATGCAATGCATATATTCTTTTGAGAAACTGTTCTAGTAAAGTTGTGATGATTAAGGAAACCTCAATTTAAGCACATGTAAACAAATTTCTGATGTATTTAAGGCCCTTTAATCTATTGAATTTTTACATTATTTTTATTTTTGTATCTGAATATATATAGAGGGAGAGAGGATATTAAGTAACTATTTTTTATGTAAAACTAATAGAAGGAATTAGAGTAGAAGGTACCATTTATGTACCTTAAAGGCTCAAGATCTGATTTGTTGTTTATACAAACAGAATTGTTTGTTATAAAAATAGGGAAACTTTTTTTATATTTATATAAAACATACTAATTAGCTTTACATAAAAGATACTGATGAGCACACATCTTATGATACTTCTTACAGTAAGGTATAATAGGTATTTTACTTGGTTTGGAAGATAAAGCAGTCAATAGGCACCTCCATTTACTTCTAAGAATTTCTGCTAATAGAAATGAAAATCGGAGGAGTGCCTGGGTGGCTCAGTTAAGCGTCCAACTTGGTTTCAGCTCAGGTCATGATCTCAAGGTTGTGAGATCAAGTCCTGCATTGGGTTCTGTGCTGGGCGTGGAGCCTGCTTAAGATTTTCTCTCCCTGCCCCTGCCCATTCTCTCTCTCTGTCAAAAAACAAAACAAAACAAAAAAAGTGAAAATCATCTATGTAAACATGATTTAATGTGGGGCTGGAATAGTTGGAAACATCTTAAATTAATTAGATTTTGATTTAATATATTCTGGGCAGAAACCATCATCTAAATGTAGGGATATGGATATTTGGGTCATTTTCCATATTTTACCGTTTCTCTTTTAGTGGTTTGGGCCTTGCAGAATATTTTTATAGTTGTCTCATTTATCAATGCTTTAAAAATTTCTAATGGGTTAATTCAAAAGGGTCTTCCCTATTCTGAGGTGATAAGTTCTCTCATGGTTTCTTATATTTTTTATGGCTTTATTTTATATACTTAGGTCTTTGAACCAAGTTAAATTTATGCTGATCTAAGGAATTGAGGTATAGATTTAGCCTTATTTTTCACCAGATAGCTACTTAGTTGACCCAACACTACTGATTGGTACATCTTTTTCTTCTCACTGCTTTGAGATGCCACTTTTATCTTCCCATAAGGAAGTTTTAATAGATAAATCTTGTGAATTTAAAGATGAATTTTAAATTAAAAGAGCTAAAAAGCTATCTTTTTTTTTCAAAGATTTTTATTTATTTGAGAGAGAGCACGCACGCGCCTGTGCGCACACAAGCGGGGTGGGGGGCAGCGGGGGAGGGGCAGAGGGGGAAGGAGAAGCAGACTCTCCTGCTGAGCAGGGAGCCCGACGCAGCTCAATCCCAGGACCCCGGGATCATGACCTGAGCGGAAGGCAGATACCTGCCTTCCTATTTAGATACCTATTTAGAAATGCTTCCTAAATAGATACCTATTTGTCATCATAGCTAAGAGCTTTTAAATGAGCCTGTTTCTTTTCTCGTTCAGGAAATTCTTAGAATTTGCTATGTGCTGAATAAATTTATATTTTTAATTAAACATTTGTATTTTAAATTCACTCTATTTCTGTACAGTAAGATATGAAAGTCCAAATTGCTTAACTTGGGAATAAATCTTAAAAGTTTAGTTTTAAATTAATTACTACTTAATTACAGACGTGCTAATATATGCCTGACAGATGTCATTAATATAATTATTGAACTGAATTTTTACAGTGTAGACATTGCTAAAATTCTGACTGGTTTATTCTTTGAAAAGAACTCAAGTTTTCCTGATTGTAACATTTTCATTGTGGAAAATTTGAGAAGCATAGAAAAACAAATTATTAAAAAATACCCATATATTCAAAAAGAATTACTGCTAAAATTTTATGTATGCTCTTCCTTTTTTTTTTTTCCTCTCCTTTATTTTAGAAAATTGGGATTTTTATGGCATATGATACTGTTTACAAATAACATTTTCTTGTATCATTTAAGTATTCTATTAAAACCTTTTTTAATGGCTGAAGATCAAAATTTCTACGTTACTTAGGTATTTAAGGTATTTACAACTTTACACCATAAAAATAACATTGTGAGGAACATCCTTGACTATTCAGCCTTCTTTATATCTGATTGCTTTCCTAAAAGGCATTTCTGGAAGTAAAATTACGAAGTCAGGGGACATTTTTTAAGTCTTTTTGATACCAGTTACCACATCGCCTTTTTAAACACTGCACTGATTTGTGGTTTCTTCAGCAGAGTATGAGAGAGGTAATTTCCTTATAGTTTTACCTTTCCTGTAAATTATTTATGTTTACTCTTTACCAATTTGATAGGTGATGAGTAGAATTTTTGATTCATAATTGAACCTACTTTTGTTACTTTTTTTACTACCCTATTAGCATTTTATTTTATTTATTTTTTAAAGATTTATTTAATTGACAGAGACAGTGAGAGAGGGAACACAAACAGTGGGAGTGGGAGAGGAAGAAGCAGACTTCCTGCTGAGCAGGGAGCCCGATGGCGGGGCTCGATCCCAGGACCCTGGGATCATGACCTTAGCTGAAGGCAGACGCTTAACAACTGAGCCACCCCAGCTCCCGCCATTAGCATTTTAAAAAATAAGGTATAGGGGCACCTGGGTGGCTCTTTTGGTTAAGTGTCTGGCCCTTGATCTCAGCTCAGGTCTTGATCTGAGGGTCGTGAGTTCAGGCCTTGCAGTGGGCTCCACGCTGGGTGTGGAGCCTATTTAAAAAATAATAAAATTATGTATATTTTGAGTAAAGATATTCCTGAATATAGTTGATTTTTCTGGCGTAATTGTCTTTCAATTAAACTTTGCAGGCTATGGATCATCTTCAGTCATTCATTGCAGATTGTGATCGAAGAACAGAAGTGGCTAAGAAAAGATTAGCAGAAACTCAAGAAGAGATTAGTGCTGAAGTGGCGGCAAAGGTAAGAATTTCAGTTATTTCATTAGTACTACAAAATACCATTTCAGTTCACTAATTTTAACTTTTTATTTTGAAATAATTACATCCACAGATTGCAAAGACTTAAATAGGGAATTCTCTGAACTCTTCCTCTAGCCTCCCCTATTCACATTTTATACAACTATAGTACACTGTCAAAGCCAAGAATTGATACTGGTCCAATCTTGACATTTTACTCAGATTTTACCAGTTTTGTGTGCACTTGGTGTGTGTATGTGTATATGTAGCTGTGTGCAGTTTTATCACACGTGTAAGTAACTTGGGTACCTGCCACCATAATTAAGTTACTTCACTGTAGCATCAGCATGAGCCTCGCTCATCTTACCTCTCTGTAGCCGCATCTGTTCCCCCTCTCCCCTGTCTTCTGGCAACCAATGTATTCTCCAGCTCTATAATTACGTTATTTTACTGAATATTACATAAACGGAATCATGTAACCTTTTGAGATTGGTTCTTTTCACTCAGCACAGGTTCCTTGATTCATACAAGTTGCTGCGTATATCAGTAGTTCATTGCTTTTTTGAGTAGTATTCCATGGTATGGATATACCACAGTTTAACCACACATTGAAAGATGTTTGGATTGTTTGCAGTTACTGGTTAACACCCGTAAAACTGCAATAAACATTTCATTGCTCTGGATAAATGCCCAAGAATGCATTTCTGGGTCATGTGGTCATATGGTAAGTCCATTTTTAGTTTTGAAAGCAGGTGTCAAAACTGTTTTCTAGAGCGGCTGTACCAGTTTACACTTCTACCAGCAATGTGTTAGTGATTTGGTTTCTTCACATCTGTGCCAACATTTGGTGGTGTCACTAATTTTCATTTTAGCCATTCTTAGACGTGTGTAGTGATATTTCTTGGTTTCAGTTTGCATTTCCCTAATGCCTAATGATGCTGAACATTTTTTTCATGTGTTTATTTGCCATTTATATACCTCTTTAGTGAATTGTCTTGTCTTAAAACCCATTTTCCAAATGGACTGCTCATTTTTTTTAATGTTGAGTTTTGAGTGTTCTTTAGATGTTCTGTTTTACCCCCTACTTTTAAAAAATACTTTATTGTAGGAGCGCCTAGGTGGCCCAAGTCAGTTAAGCATCCAACTCTTGATCTCTCAGCTCAGGTCTGATCTCAGGGTCCTGAGTTCAAGCCCCGCGTTGGGCTCCATGCTGGGTGTGGAGCCTACATTATTATTATTTTTTTTAATGTGAATTTACATGCAAAAAGTGGAAAAAGGGGTGCCTGGCTGGCTGAGTCAGTAGAGCATGCAACTCTTGATCTCTGGGTTGTGAGTTCGAGCCCCACATTGGATGTAGAGATTACTTATTAAATAAATAAACTTTAAAAATACAAATAAAACCAAGAAAGAAAAGTACAATAAATCCCAATGGATTCATAGTCAGTTTTTTGCTCTTGTTTCATTGTTTGATTTATTAGAAATGGAGCAGGGGAAGGGGCAGAGGGAGAGGGAGAAGCAGACTCCCCACTGAGCAAGGAGCCCAACATGAGGCTGGATCCCAGGACCCTGAGATCATGACCTGAGCCGAAGGCAGACACTTAACCAGCTGAGCCACACAGGCGCCCCTGTTTCATTATTTTAAAAGCAAATTCCAGATGTCACATCGTTTCATCTCTAAAACATAACCATAAAAATTACATCCATAAAGTTAACAATTTTTTAATATTATCTAATATCCTGAATGTGTTCATTTTTCCTATATAGAGTTGGTTCTAATCAGAATCTTAAAATTAAAGTCCATATAGTGCATTTTGTTGATTTGATGACTTAATACTTTGAAACATTTTGTGCCGTTCAGTATAGTTTGTACATTTTATGAAAATGCAGAATGGAGACAGAGTTTACCCAGATGGAGTTTGGATGACAGCATTAAATACAGTTCTCGGAGATGGATGTACAGAGGGAAATGGATTTCTTTGTTTGAGAAAAGGTTTTTTTGTTTTTTGTTTAAGTAATCTCTACACGCAATGTGGGGCTCGAACTCACAGCCCGGAGATCAAGAGTTGCATGCTCTACTGACTGAGCCAGCCAGGTGCCCTGAGGAAACGGTTATTTTTAGGATATGTGCTGCCGAAGTGAGCACGGAAACGGTTATTTTTAATCAACTTTTTCTGAAATGTTCTCTAAAGATGGGATCCTAAAGAGTAGGGATCTAATGTTATGGTTGAAAAAGATCCACAAGTGCTATCTTGGTTTATATGGCATTTTATTGGTTATCTATCACTGTAAAAATGCTGTTTAACAAATTACCTCAAAACTCAGTGACTTAAAACAGTATTTTAGCCCATGAGGCTTCAGTTAATGATTAGGCTGAACTTGACTGGGAAGTTATTCCTGTCTCAGCTGGGCTCACTCACATGTCTTCTGGTCAGTCAGAGGCTGTTGAACCCAATTTAGTCTGGCTGTGTTCTTAGGGTAGTGAAAGAGGTACAAAAAATGTCATACAAGTGCTTTTCAAGCCTTCCCTTCTGTCATGTTTGCTGCTGTCCTGTTAAGTAAAGCCAGTTACATGGTCAAATTCAGAATCAGAGTATGATGGTACTAATTATATAGCAAAGAGATGGATACAGTGAAAGGTGAAGAGTTTAAGGCATAATCCAATCATTCTGTGACAGATATTGAAAAAAAAACTACCACTTTGTTAAAGAGGTAAGAAAATGATAATAGAATTGAAAATTTCTTTGAGGGATGAATATTTTTGACTGAAGGACATTTGAGAGGTAAAGGTTATTGGCGCACCAGTTTGTTGGGACTGGATGTCCATAACAAATTAAAACCTTCTTTGGTAATATAATTGCCCACACAGCCTGAATACTTTGTGGCCAGTATAAAGACTATACAGGTATCCTATGCCATTAAAACAATAGGACTGAGCTATATTCTTAGGATGACAGTGATGAAGAGGAGGAGAACGACACAGATTCCCAAGGCAAGAATTTATCCCAGGGGAAAGACATGAACTAAGCCTAAGGGACGCAGTGTTATAGTAGTATGCTGAAAATCAGTAATGTGCTGTGCAGTATATGTGCAAGGCACATTTTCTCATTTCTCACAACTGTATGAGATAGGTATTATTCCCACTTCTTTGGTGAGGAAGTGGATTCAGGTTAAGTAATGTGGTCAGAATTACATAGCTGGTAATTGGTTTGGCAATAAGCCAGACCTTTTGGACTCTAAAGTCATATATTTACCTTAAAGAGTATCTGCCAGTTCATTTCTTTTTCTTTTTTTAGATTTATTTTATTTATTTGAGAGAGAGAGCGCACAAGAGGGGGTAGGGTCAGAGGGAAAAGCAGACTCCCTGCTGAGCAGGGAGCCCAATGTGGGACTCGATCCCAGGACTCCAGGATCATGACCTGAGCCGAAGGCAGTCGCTTAACCAACTGAGCCACCCAGGCACTGTACCAGTTCATTTCTTTAACTCCTGTTTGAGCCTATGCTATTTGTTGGGCATTGGAAATACACAGATGGGAAATATAAATAGCTTTCTTTAAGGTGGTGTGATATGTATATAAAAGTATATACATAAGTATATGTATGTACAGAAGTATATGTATAAAAGTATGATATGTACATAAGAGCGTCATGGAAGATAAAAAGATGGCACAAAGGAGGGTTTGGCTCTCTGTGCTTATGTTTAGATGGGGGTGAGATGTGATTGATCAAGAATATTTCACAGAACAGTTGAATCTTGAATGAATCGACATATATGAGTTTGGACAAGGGGAGGTAAGGGATGATGTCTGAGGAAGAGGGATGACATCCTTCTGCAAAGTCACGGATGCAGAAAACGAGTAAATTTGGGAAACTAGATATAACTATAGATTGTGTTGTGAAGTGGGGGAACAGCAAGAGATGGTTTGGAAAGGTACATTGGGGCAGTTTGTGGTAAACGGTATTTTATACTTGGAATACACTGCTAAAGCAGAGGTTATAAAGTAATAGTTAAATTGAGATCAGTTGTATTCCTGACCTCACTGCAGTGAGGGCAGGTAGGCTCAAAACATCCTCATATCCCACCAGTTCATTTATGATATGCTCAGAAAGCATTATTTATACTCATAGTGCCTTAGATAAGTCTTTTCTGAGCATTTATGAAATATTTTGAACTGATAATTTATTCTTTTTATTCATGATCTTTTCTGTTTCTTTCTAGGCAGAACGTGTTCACGAGTTAAATGAAGAAATTGGTAAGTTGTTGGCCAAGGTGGAACAACTGGGAGCTGAAGGAAATGTGGAAGAATCCCAGAAAGTAATGGATGAAGTAGAGAAAGCACGGGCAAAGAAAAGAGAAGCAGAGGTAATACAGTTTTTAATGGTAATATGTACAGCCTTACTGTCAAAACAGATCTGATTGGGAATTATTGAAAGTTATTGCTAGTATAGGCAGTTTAAACCATTTAAAAAATTTAGTTAGTCCATGTCATAGTAATGGGTTATGTATCAAAGTTGTGGGTGATTTTGTTATTACTTTAGAGGCTTTGATCTGTTGAAATTTATAACTAGAAAATGAAATTAAACTAGCTAGTCATACACAGCAGTCACATACAGAATGCATAAATGCAGGTCCTGTGATACCCTCCCTCCCTTGACTTTACCACCATGTAACCATAGCATTCTCCCTACTCTTCCCATCTCAGTACAATCTGCTAGTACTTTGGGAGCCGCCGCCTCTCATTCTTTCTCCATAGCACAGGTCAAAATCTCATATCCTGCAAAGTTCTGTTTTGTTTGCCACTTCATGTTTTTTTAGAAAATTGGGGTTTATCCACAGGGGGTTGTATTCTTCCATTTTGCCATCGTCCCCATTGCTCTTAACTCTAACACACCTCAGTTTAATTTGTTCTTATTCTGCCCTTTTAAAAGGGAAGCCTAGATAATTGATTTTAGCCCATTTGATGCTACAGATTTTCTTCTAGGTACAACTGTAGCTGCATCCCACAGAATTTCATATATTGTTTTTATTTTCATTCATTTCCAATATTTGCTAATATTGCTTATGATTTCTTCTTTGACCTGTGGGTTATTTAGGAGTGTGTTTTTGTATATTTGTTGTTTTTCCAAATATTTTTGTTTTTAATTTAGTTCTGTTGTAGTGAGAGAACATTCGTGTGATTTCAGGTCTCTTAGATATATCAGTACTTATTTTGTGCCCTGAATGTGGTCTTGGTGAACGTTCCATCTATATTTGAAAAGAATGATACTCTGCCTTATTAAATGGAGTGTTCGAATTAAGTCAAGATAGTTGATTGATTATTAAAGTCTTCCATATCCTATTGATTTTCTGTTCTATTTACTGAGAGGAGTATTAAAGTCTCTATCTCTAATTGTGGTAGACTTAAACCCAATGTACTAGTAATTACGTTAAATGTAAATGGTCTAAACATTCCAATTAAAAGGCAGAGATTGTGAAACTAGTTTTTTGTTGTTGTTCTTTTTAAGCAAGACTTAGTTGCACCTGAGTGACTTAGTCTGTTAAGTGCTTTCTGCTCAGGTCTTAAAAAAAATAAAATAAAAGCAAGACTTAACTATATGCTAGCTACAAGAAATCTTTAAATATAAAGACAGATTAAAGGTAATAGGATGGGAAAGGATAAACCACGCAGCCATTCTTGTTAATTTTAAAGTCTTAAAATACTCAGGATTTCTTTAAATGTAATTAATATGATTCCAGAAAATAAACACTATGAATTTTTTGTTTAACTTTTTTTAAGATTTTATTTATTTGAGAGAGAGAAAACACTGGAGAGAGAGAGCAAGCATGAGTAGGGAGCAAAGGGAGAGGGAGAAGCAGGCTCCTTGCCGAGTAGGGAGCCCAATGTGGGCTCGATCCTGGGATCGTGACCTGAGCCGGAGGCAGATACTTAACCAACTGAGCCAACCAGGTGCCCCTAAACACTATGAATTTTAAAATGCAGAATATTTTATAGCTCATTTCCCCAAAAGACTCAAGTAATGAACCTTAGTAAGCATTATTATTTGCATATTTTGAAGTTTTCGTGAGATTTCATATGTATGTATTTGAAGATTTTCTAGTAGCACACAGCGGCTTAACATCTTTAGCATTTTATGTTTTATTATCAGTTGATTTTTACTAGGGACAGGGCATTAAAAAATTTACTTGCTCATTATAGATTGTGTTCAGCTGCACATAGTAGAAAACTTATAATGGCTTAACCAAGGAAGGGTTTTGTTTTTCTCATTTATTAAATAATCGTGATTAGGGAGTCGGGCTGGTACAGCAGCCTCCTTGATTCCATCAAGCACACGGGCTATTTCTGGCTTTATGTTCAGCCATCCTTACTACATGGATTCATCTTTATGCTTATCAATTTGTGTTGGCAGTATGGCTACTATGCCAGAAGCCTTTTCTCTCTACATAACTAGAAAGAGGAAGAAGAGTAATAAGGCACAAAAACTTGAGTTGACTTGCCTCCTAGTGTCATGTCTTTTTCTTTTTTTTTTTTTTTTAAAGATTTTATTTATTGAGAGAGAGCTCACGAGAGAGCATGAACTGGGGTGGAGGGTGGGCAGAGGGAGTGGGAGAAGCAGAAGCAGATTCCTCGTTGAATAGGGAGCCAGTGAGGCTGATCCCAGGACGCTATGTTCATGACCTGAGCCAAAGGCAGATGCTTAACCCACTGAACCACCCAGATCCTGTTTCTCTTTTTAAAAAACTTTTATTTTGCAATATCTTCAGAAAAGTTTAAGAAATAGTATAAAGAATTCCCCTATATCCCCTATATCTTTCACCCAAATGTTAACATTTTACCATATTTGCTTTGTATTTCTCCTCGTGTGTGTGTGTGTGTGTATGTGTTTGAACTGTTTGGCATTAAGTTATAGATATGATGTCTCTTTATCCCCAAATAGTCCAGTGTATATTTTCTAAAGACAAGGATATTCTATTACATAACCGCAGTAGAATGATCTGAATCAGAAATTAACACTGATACAGTACTGTTAATGAATCTGAAGACTTTATGCAGATTTTTCCAATTACCACAGTAATGTTCATTTTTACTAAAAAATTTTTGTTCTTTGTTTAAGACCCAGTTCAAGATCATGTGCTGCATTTAGCTGTTAATGTCCCTCTAGGCTTCTTTAATCTGGAACTTCAGTCTTTGACATGATCTTGACAGTTTTGAAGAGTAGAGGCTATTTTGTAAAATGTCCTTCAGTTTGGGTTTGTCTGATTTTTCTTCCTGGTTAGATTTTTGACAGTACCATTGAAGTAATGTTATATCTGCTCCGAAGTCACACGTTAGTGATTTGTCCCATTTCTGGTGATTGGCCTGTTTTTCCACTATGAAGTTACAGTACTTTCTTTTTGTAACTGTAAATATTGTTTCCCATCACTTTCTGGTCCACAGGTGATAGCAGCTATTGTTTTTTTTTGTTGTTGTTGTTTTTTTTTTTTGGTCTCAGTCTATTGACTCCATTAGAAAGGACTTTTCTATGGATTCCATCCAACTTGAGTATCTCCCTAGCCAAAGCTCTGTGGAGGCTTGGGAATGTAATGTCTTCTAGCTGGACATGCTGCTGGCCTCAAAAGGAAAAAAAAAGGATACAGTGGATATACAAATCCACTAATACTTAATATTTCATTAATGAACTTAAAATGGTTGCATGTAAGACTTTATCTCATTAAGGCATCTTTCATTGCTTGTGTTATAGAACTATTCCTCTTCGGGGAAAGTCTTTTTTTTGTTTTTTTTTTGACCGAGAGAGAGAGAGCGAGAGAGGGAACACAAGCAGGGGGAGTGGGAGAGGGAGAAGCAGGCTTCCCGCGGAGCAGGGAGCCCGATGTGGGGCTCGATCCCAGGACCCTGGGACCATGACCTGAGCCGAAGGCAGACGCCTAACGACTGAGCCACCCAGGCGCCCCCCTCTTAGTGGAAAGTCTTATAATTTATATGCCCTGTCCACATTTTTCCAAAGGGGGAGAAAATGATCTGTGGGAAAGAAGGCACTGGAAGGAAACTGTGTCGAAGACATGTATTCTTTCTCTGCTAGGGTGGATGACTGCTTCCTTGGTCCTTCACTGATACATAGTTTTGGGGTTGCTACATCTCATTTTTAACAAAAATTGTAGAAAACAAAGCATTGTAGAACACTGAGAAAACTTTTTCCAAAAGTCATATTCTCTATCATGGTAGAATTCTTTTTTTTTAAAGATTTTATTTATTTATTTGACAGAGAGAGACACAGCGAGAGAGGGAACACAAGCAGGGGGAGTGGTAGAGGGAGAAGCAGGCCTCCCACGGAGCAGGGAGCCTGATGTGGGGCTCGATCCCAGGACCCTGGGATCATGACCTGAGTCGAAGGTAGACACTTAACGACTGAGCCACTCAGGTGCCCCTATCATGGTAGAATTCTTCTAGTAGTTCTTGGCAAAGTGCAATTGAGTCTCTGATCTTTTACCTCCAGTGAAAGAGATCCCAGGGACAGAGGATGGGAATAGAGGAACCCATCGTTCTTCTGACAAAAATAGCCATACTTTTGTTATTCGTTAGAAAACATTTTTTTGTATAAATATAATGTATTTTGTGTAATGGTATGGACTCAGGTTTATATGAACATTGTTTTTCTCACTTTTGTTTAGGAAGTTTATCGGAATTCTATGCCAGCTTCCAGTTTCCAACAACAGAAACTTCGAGTCTGTGAAGTCTGCTCTGCCTATTTAGGTCTTCATGATAATGATAGACGACTGGCTGATCATTTTGGGGGTAAACTGCACCTGGGATTTATTGAAATAAGAGAGAAGCTTGAAGAATTAAAGGTACATTGGTAAATTAATGTCATATGCTTTATCTAATTTAGCCATCCATTGTTTTGATGTGTATTAGTTATCTTTTTGTATAAGGTTCTTGACTATTGAGTCTGCTAACAACTCATACCGAATAGTGTAAGATTATAAATGGAGATAACAACTGGTTTAATGGATGATGTCTGAGAAACAGACTTTTAAATAATGTCCCCTTATTCTGGGAGGTAATATTTTGTGTAAATATGACATTGAATTAGTCTGGCAAACTGGGTTCTAAACTAATTCTTTCATGTAAATTCCCCCCAAATTTTTATTTTCTTTGACATAAAATTAACAATATAACATTAGTATAATATTTACTTTAAAGGAAGATTGAGAAAACGAGACTAGTATTTATTTGAAATATTTTGCAGTTCTTCAGTAAATAGCAAGCTTGTAGGACCTCTAGTTTTACTTTATGCTCCTGCTCCCATTTCAGCAAGGAATTAGAATGAAACCTATCTTTAAAAAAAGGACAGTTACTGTCACGTATATGGCTATTGTGAGAAAGGCAATACAGTTCTTACTCATGTGCAGAATTCTTTTGAGAAGATATGGAAACAACACAGGGTATTTCTAAAGATGTAAGCAAAATCAGAGTAAATGAATATAATCAGTTTACTTTCCAACAATCTGATGTGGCTAGTTTTTTAAAAATTGTGGCACTGTAGCATTTTGTCATGAATGGAAGAATGGCTCAAGGATGGCAAACACTGGATAGTGAAATTAACCCAGAATCTGTAGTTTGACCTTTAAAATAATGAGTCAGATACACTTAGGGACATATCCATATTTGTAATTAACAGTGAGCTCGTCTAAGTATTCTGAGTAGCTGGGATGATTTTTGGTAAGTTTTTATTTAACATGACAAAAGTAAGTTTCACCATATCAAATGGTTACTAGGCTCTGAATTAAAACTCAAAAATAGTACCTATTTGGGAATCTTTGCAGTTAATAGACCTAGCAACAGGACTGTTTAGCGTCTTACTGGTATTTTTTGAAGCAACAGAATTGGGATGGGAAATGACAGAAGACATTTTTATTTTGGAAATGAGAGAATAGGAACTTGTAGTGATTTATAATGCCTTAGTGTCCTTCAAAAATTACAAAACATGTGCACCTTCCTGGCTCAGTTGGTAGAGCGTGTGCCTCTTGATCTCAGGGTTGTGAGTTGAAGCCCCACATTGGGTGTAGAGATTACTAAAAAAATAAACTTGAAAAAATACAAAATAATGTTAGAAAACATTCATAGGAGAAAATGATTTTGAAATATTAAGTCATGAAGAAATACAAAATTCTACAAATGTTCCCCAGAAGGGGGAAAGATTTTGGAAACTAGACTTGTAAGCTTAATGATTTTTACCCAGCAAAACTTTTAATTGTTATTAAACAGATTTTGATATTATTTATACTGTATCAGGAACCAGATACAGTAGAGTTTAGGGTAATTCTTCTTAAGAATGAACCCAATAAGTAATGCTCCTCATTTTTTATTATTTGACCTGTCATTGTCTTTTAAGAGAGTTGTAGCTGAGAAACAGGAGAAAAGAAATCAGGAACGCCTGAAACGAAGAGAAGAAAGGGAGAGAGAAGAAAGAGAGAAGCTGAGGAGGTATGGAGTGATTAATTGAATAGTTCAAGTATGTGAAGTTGAAGTTCCTTGGCTCTAAAAAGAGGTGTGATTGATACAGGATATTAGGTGTTAAAAATAAATCTAGACATGGGAGATTTTTGTTTACTTTTGAAAATGTTACCATGTGAAAGTGTTCATACAAATATGTTATGGCCATCTAAGTCAAGGTGATTTCCTTCAAAATGTGTGGAAGGGTAAATAGTCACATCCTTATTTTTTGTAAGATTGACTACAAAGCTTTTCTAGCCCTCTGATTTTCATAATGGCTAGATTTGTACCAGATTGGTATCAAACTTCATTTTTGTGATATACTTTATTCTTGACAAAGGTTTGAGTTTTGGGGTACCTGGCTGGTTTAGTTGGTAGAGCATATGGCTCTTAATCTCAAGGCTGTGGGTTGGATCCCCACATTGGGTGTAAAGATGATTTAAAAATAAGATCTTAAAAAAATTATTTCATATCATACTTGGATTCTGTAATTCCTCAATTCTAGGAGCTATAAACTATTAAAATTGTGTAAATAATAGCCAAATGTATGCAGTTCTTTTTATATTGGTATTCATTCATTCATAAAACCATATTCTTCATATTTAGAATGGTTAAATGTTCTGAGTGACTTTTACCCATTGTCAACAAATTGTGTGGCATCATGGTGGCAATCTTCTTTGAATTCATGTACATAACTTTTTTAATAGCCTTACAACGGACAGGTATGCCACAAAAGAATTACCTGCAGTTCTAATTTATGGTGTTCCCTTAATTGTATTGCACATCTCTGAAACTTAAATACTCTATCTCCAGATTTTGTGCCTAATTAAAACCCTTTATAATATATGACTTGATCACGCTGGCTTTCCCCAACCTTTGAGCATGTTATATTTGTTTAAGATGTTTAAACTAACTTTGTGTTACATGGCTTGTAGCAGGTAATATTTTTGCAGTGTAATGAAAAAGGAAACATAAGTACATGTGGATATTTTGCCTTTTTTAGGGGAAATGCTGTCATACATCCATTGATAAATATGTTCTTCATTTACCATAATTTTTTATCTCATAGCTTTATCACTATTCTCTTTTGTGTACACTGAGTTTCTATGGGAATAGTGCTCAGCATTTTGATACAAGACCATATAAGTGGCATTAGAAATCTCAGTTTGTTAAAATTCTGTAAGTAGTGCCACTGATTTATATGATTCAACTGAAATGATAGTTGAATGAGAAAGAAAAATTCTTTGCCATGACTACATTTTCACGTTATAGATGACAAAGTATATCACATCTCACTCCTTTGTTGCCAGCTGACCGATTTCTTTTAACATTGATTATAAAATGTAATGCTATTTCAGAAAGGTGTTTAAAATTTTTTTTAAATCTGTAAACTTGAGGAAATACTATAACCAAGAATGAAAAATAAATCATAAGCAAGTACAGAGTTAAGCAAGATGGGATTCCAACTATGGTATTGAAAAGGATAATGATAAAAATCACTGTCACTTACTAAGTGCCTATTTATCAGGCACGGTGCTAAGAATTTACCTACAGTAGTTCATCTAATCCTTATAATCCTCCTGTGAAATTTCTATTACTGTCCTTCTTTTGCAAATGACAAGCAAAGCTTAGAGAAGGTTTATAATCTGTCCAGGTCACAGATAATGGTGCAGCCAGAGTTTTAAAACGTAAATCAGGCTGAGTTAAAAGCCATCCTTTAGTTGTGCTATGTATTCCCAACAAAAGACACCTGTGGTTTTCTAGTACCCATAATATTAGCCATTACTGTTGAGTGTTAATTGTGTGCTAGGGAATCATGTGTCTTTTTAAGAAACAGATGTTATAAGATTGAATTGGGTGTTCTAGGGATTATACTCTGAGGTTGCAGTTTGAAAGTGAATACATCTCCAAAAAAAAAAAAAAGTGAATACATCTCAGATTATAGAAAATTTTCTCTGTTCCCGGAGGGAAAGAAGAAATTACAGAGATATAAATAACAAAGACTTTTTCCCAGGTTGGGAATTGATTTCTGGAGAATTAGTGAGTGGTGATGTACCATGTTATAGTCTCCTAGGAGCATATTCTTTTTAAGAGCCGGGTATCGTAGTTAGGGGATCTCATATGCCAAGGTGGGAAAGTCTGTATAGTTTATGGTGTATTTTGGAAAAATTTGTGTGCATTCATATGTGCCTTATATTTATAGAATTAATAAAAAGATTAGGAATCAGGAAGAGTGTAATTTTAACAGTACATTGTACTTTTTCTCACTTTTTTTCTAAAAATAGATACTCTTTTTTTAGGTCTCGATCACATAGCAAGAATCCCAAAAGGTAAGCATATGCAAAATATATATAATTAGTGAAGTTCTTTTTTTTCAGAGGTAGTTTTTATAGATTAAATATCTTTTGAAAATGAATGAGAATTACTAAGTTAGTACTCTTAATTCTTTTGTAGTTCAAGTTCGGGCATTGTGTTTTAAGATGAAACTGGTTAGAAGGTACTCGTGAACTGTAACTTTATTTTATCAGAGTAAAGTTATATATAGTGTGGTGTTAAAAGTAAAGCTAAAAATACTGGGGTGCCTGGTTGGCTCAGTTTGTGGAGCATGTGACTTCTTGATCTTGGGGTTGTGAGTTCAAGCCCCACATTGGGAATAGAGCCTACTGAAAAAAATAAGGAAAGCTTAAGAATATTTTAGAATATTTCTTTAAAATCTTTAGAAGCGCAGGTAAAACACATGACAGAATTTATTTTTAAAATCATTTTGGGTGGTACATGTCAAACGCAAGTCTAAGAGGTTATACCTGTTGAAAATATAAGTAGGTTAAGTAGTTGAATACATTTTTTTTTAAAGATTTTATTTATTTGAGAGAGATAGCAGGCATTGGGTTGTGGGGCACAGGGCAGAGGGAGAGGGAGAAGCAGACTCACCACTGTGCAGGGAGCCTGATGAAGGGCTTGATCCCAGGACCCTGGGATCATGACCTGAGCTGAAGGAAGACACTTAACCAACTGAGCCACCCAAATGTATTCAGCCCTACTTGAATACATTTTTGAAAGAAGGATCCATAGTGGGTTATTGAAGAGAAACTAAAATGCTTATTAGTTTACACCCTGATCTTCACTTTATATGAGTTTATTATCCCTTTGTATATTGATGACAAAACTAAAATTTTGACTTTCGGCATTAAAATTTGAGGGCTTTTTGAAGACTCTCTATAGTTTTTACTAGTTGCTGGAAACTTTTTTCTAACTGAGAAAGGTGGGGAAACATGGTGTATGTCATCATTTTTAATACTTCATGTGCAGTTTCCATGAGTCCATCCCCACCTAGAATACCCTTTCTTATTGTCAAGTCCTACCATTTTTCTTGTTCAGATCACATCTTTTTGAAACCTTCCAGGTACTCTTATCTCTAAAGAGTAATTATTTCTTGAGAACTTTTCCCTATAAACTAGAGCATTTGTTGTTATAAAAGAATAACCTGTCCAGTTGTCAGCCAATTTGTATTGTTTCTGAAGTCTAGGATGAGAAATAGAAACATTGGGGTACCTGGGTGGCTCAGTCCTTAAGCGTCTGCCTTCGGCTCAGGTCATGATCCCAGGGTCCTGGGATCGAGCCCCACATCGGGCTCCCTGCTCTGCGGGAAGCCTGTTTCTCCCTCTCCCACTCACCCTGCTGTGTTCCCTCTCTCGCTGTCTCTCTCTCTGTCAAATAGATAAATAAAATCTTTAAAAAAAAAATAGAAACATTAATTGGTGATACTATTCTTATTTACTGGTTGATTAATGCAAATTAGTCCCTTTGTTGAATAGATACTTTAACTGTGTACATAGAACATCCTCAGATATTGAGGCCAGAAATTTAATTTCTACTGTTCTACTCCGAGCTAGTTGCCTCATGATTACAATAGCCTCTTGACTGGTCTCTTAATTTCTGTATTTGCCCAATTCTCTTCTCCACCTCAGTCTGTTTTTCACACATCAGCCAGAATGAGCCCTTTAAAAAGTGAAACAAATTACATCAGCCCTCTTTTCAAACTCTCCAAAGGTGTTCCGTTTCACTTAGGAGAAGTGGAAATCCTCGCCATAGCTTTTCAAGTAGAGTGATTGATCTGAGAGCGGGGTAGGAACTAGTTTATGTCTTGTGTCAGGATATTTATTAATAACTTCCCCTTGCTCTTTATATAATTTATCATTGAGAGCATCCTGGTTTGAATTATGAGGTACTGGGTCATCCTGCTTGTAGGTAAGACCCCTGAATTATTCCCCTTGCTCACTTCATTCCAGCCGAACAGGTATCTTTTAGTACTTCAACATTTTGAACTTTCTTGTACCACAGGGCCTTTACACCTGTGTTCCCCTTACCTGAAGCACCCTAGTTTGAGATGGCTGATTAGCTGATTACCTTATTTCATCTTTGCTTAGATGCCGTTTTACCAGAAAAGCCTTTTCTATCTATCCTTTATAAAAGATTACCACCTCATTTCTGTCCATCTTTACCTCCTTGATATAGCATTTCTTTACTAGCATTCTTTACTTTGTTGACTGCTAACATATCTGTGTGGACTTCTTTCTGGAGCATAACCTCCATGAGGTGTTAAGGACTTTGCTTTATTTGCTGCTCAGTCTTTTTCTAGTACCTAGAACAGTGCAGTGTGCACCCAGTAAATACTTCAAAAAATTTTTTTTGGATTTTATTTGAGAGAAGGAGAGCGAGCGAGAGAGCATGAGTGGGAAGAGGGGCAGAGGGAGAGGGAGAAGCAGACTCCCCGCGGAGCAGGGAGCCCGATGCGGGGCTCGATCCCAGGACCCTGGGATCATGACCTGAGCCGAAGGCAGACGCTTAACAACTGAGCCACCCAGGCGCCCGTAAATACTTTTTAAATGAATAATTGTCTAGAATTTTTTAAAAGATGAATGAAATTATGCATTGAAAGACACAGATTCATTGTAATAGCTCAATGAGTGACTAAGCAAAATACCATTTAATAAAACTTGGATTGAATGAGTTTTATGTTCTTTTCCCTATGCTCCTTTTCAGAGATACTTTATTGTTGAAGTACTCAACTGTGGTTGATGCTGGGTCCACTATATATGTCTTTCTTTGAATATAATGTTGACATAAGCTGAATGCTTTTAAACTTCATTTAACAAAATCATCACTTGAAAGTGAGCTGTTTGTAAATTGTATCACCTGAATATGCTTTTGTGAATTTACCAAATTATGAGAAAACATCACGTTCTTAAAGTGACTCAGTTTTTAACAGCTTTATTGGGGTATAATTTACATAAGTTCACCCATTTAAACTGTACAGGTCAATCATTTTTTAGTGAATTCAGAGTTGTGGAACTGTCAAAAGTCAAGTTTAGATAGTTGCCCTTACTCTTAGAAGAAAGTTGCATATCTTTTTTCCTGCTTGTTTTCTCTCAAATGTTTTATGTCCTCTGCATGTGCCATTTCAACCCTCAGCCCACACATACGTTGATAGTTTTGTGACGCAGCGGAGGCTATGTCTTCTGGCTTCTTCAAAACATTTTTCCTTTTCTCTAAACTGTTCTCTGCTCATACTTTTTTCAGTTCCGATAAAGTTCTCTAAACTGATTGATGTATGTTAGTTTTTTCTCCCAAATTAAGTACTGCTTTAATAGAGGGCATTTAGACATTTTGATGGTCCTGTCACCTTTTTAATTCAGAGTTAGTGACTTATCATAAACAATAGTCTTTCTCCTGCCTCTTCTCACTTTTATCCATATCCATCAGGTACATACTTTGTTTCTAAAGTATACCAGAAATCTTAGAAGTTTAAATGAAATACAAATCCATAAGTCATCTAGAGAATACAATCCAATCCTTAGCATATAGTAGTGTTATGGATTGTCTTTTTATATTTTTTGATGTAAATCTGATTGAGCTCTGAGACTAGTGTTTCATTTGTATTTCGAAATTCTACTATGTACTTAATATGCCACCATTTTATTTTGGTGTAGATGTAGCTGACTTGAAATAGAACTGGCATTAAGTCAGGTTACTGAGGTATCATTTGTCTTAAAAGAAGAGGCTTTAGCAAAGGAGAAATGCATTGCCGAGAAAGCTAAAAGCTAAAGCCCATGTTTTTTTGTAGGTCCAGGTCCAGGGAGCATCGCAGACATCGGTCTCGCTCTATGTCACGGGAACGGAAGAGGAGGACTCGATCCAAATCTCGGGAGAAACGCCATCGCCACCGATCCCGCTCGAGCAGCCGCAGCCGCAGCCGCAGCCACCAGCGCAGCGGGCACAGCTCCAGAGACAGGAGCAGAGAGCGATCCCGCAGGAGGTACTGAGGCGTCCGTAAGAGGAACGGAACTGCCTTTATGGTTTAGAGGTGGAATACTGTTGGTTTGAAACTTGCATCTGGTCACATGTACACATTTGTGTGTGAGTGTATAACATTTTTTCCCCCTGATTCTATGGGTAAAGAATACACTTAGGAGCCAGAGTAAGAAATTGGAACCAATATGTGCTACAGAGGTTATTGCTCTTTCTCTTAGTGTATTTTGGAAAAAAAGTACTTTGTGGGCAATTTAGGTACCAATACTCAGTTTTTACAGTATGTACTGGTGGATTAAGGGTTCTGAGAAACCCTTTCATTTAAAGAGTTTAGCTTTGTTTGACTTACTGTTTTCCAAACTTCTTTGAGCTGGTGCACTTTTTCAGAGCAGACACATTCTGGTATATTATTTTATCTGCACTGTAGGTATACATTGCTATAGACAGCTTGGTGGGGCCGATTCAGAATCTTGAGGTTAGACTTTCTTGGCATGAAAATTTGAAAGGTGCAAGGAGGGCCGATCTAGGGCGTGGTGCATTGAAGGACCTGAATTATCTGTTCAGCACAAAGGATTAGAATGTGATAGAAAAGCTACATCACCAAGCTCCCAAAACTTCTCAGGTCATAAGATGGTCCTTAAGCCAGGTCATTTCTACGGAACATAGAAACCATGCTTACCATTGCTTTTTTTCATGACAACTCTTCTTAAGCATATATGTAATAAACCTTTTTTGAGTGCCTAGCACCTACTAGTCTTAAATTTTCTATCGATTACTCTCCATAAAGCCCATGATAGAATTCCCAGAAAGCTGATAATCTTTTGGCGGGGGTGGGGGAAGAGGACAGAAGCCTTTCCTTGAAACCACTCACTCGAAGAGTTGGTGAATAGGCTTTCACTGAATATTTTCTTCTGTTCTTGCCTTGTTCCAAGTAGGTCCTCCCCCCCCCCCCGCTTTATTGAGGTATAATTGACAAAATTTTAAGATATTTGAGGTATACTTTGTGGTGATTTGATACACACACACACACACACACACACACATTAGGAAAGAGTTCCCACCAGTGGTTAATTAACATCCTTCACCTCAGGTGTTTATCCTTTTTTTTTGAGGAGAACATTCATGTTCTACTCTTATTAGCAAACTAGTTCAAGTAACTTTAATCAAAAAGACTTCTATACTAGGCCTAGTAAAAAATAACCAAGAAGTATTCTGTAGTTGAGCAACTTTATTCAAGTTAGAGCACAAGACTAACATCTTTGATAATAAACAGGCCCTTAAAGTGGTAAGGTGTACAGAGTAATATAGGAGTTTAGATGAGGGAAATACCATAGAAATTAAAAAAGGCTTCAGAGAGTAGGTAAAACCAGGTAGTAAAAAGATATTTGAGATGGAGTAAATATCACAGACCAATGCAGAGAATGAACAAATTCCCCCTGAGATTTACCTGCGCTGTATGTTTTGAGAGTCACCCTACTGCTTGATGGAAGGTCTAGAGAGTTTGTTTTGTGAACTTGCCCCCAGGTCATTGTTTCTTTCTGGTATCTGTGAACTCTCAAATGTCTTTATTAAATGGTGGTCGGGATGGAAGGGAGGGGCATCGTAGTCCCAATGGTTCCTGCATTTATGAAGTTGTATAGGACATATTTCTACTATCCTACATGACACCCTTACTATTTTCAGCATGTTTATAAACAGGTTTATTTTTGTAAAACTATTAAAAGTTTTTTTGCTTTTCTCAAGAGCACTTCTAATCTCGACAACTTACTCTTTCAAAGCAGCCTTCTGTGTTTTTACCAAAACTAAGCAGCCAATTGCTATATATTTGAGTTTAAATTTCAAAGTAAAGGTCCTAGTTACAAGTCTTACGATTTGCTTTTTCCCTAACTGTGAAATACTGGTATATGACATGATTCTGTTGGTGACATTTCCCTGGCAACAGTTATCTTAATAAATGAGGACTTACCTGCATTTTTCTACTTCCTGGTCTGTTCAAACACCTAGTGCAGTCTTGAGAGTCAGACTACTTGGGTTCAGTGGCCTTGGCCAAGTAATCTCATTATTCTGTCTTCCCCCCATCTTTGAAGTACCTATGTTATTAGGATTAGTGGTAGTTTGAATGACATAGTGTAAGTAAACTGCTTATGGATGGGACGTTGTAATCCCTCACAAAATCGTAGTTGAGGCTCATCTCATGGTTATTTTCCGGTTAGTTACTGACCTCTGAGACTTACCTGCAACTGTGTCCTTAATTCTTAGGCATCATTTCTCTCCATATTCTATTCTTAAAAAGATTGTGGAGAGGATTAGTGTAACCAGACATGCACTGTGATTTTTTTTTAACATCTTTCTAAAATCATGCTTATTAAAACCTTAAGGTAGAACACGCTCAAAGTTGACATTAATTTTTGAACCTTTTCGGTTGAATCCCCCTTATTTCTAAAACTGAGTATAGTATTTTTTTTTCCTGCCTTAGAAGTTCAAAGTATTACTTGACCCATGCTCAGAATTAGGATCTGAGGCCTGGTTAAGTGGTAAGATTATATGTAAAGTACCAGGTCACTTGTAAAGTACCAAGTAAATGTAATATATATTGATTCATTCTAGATGTTGAAAGTAGAGATTTTATATTCTGATCCCATAATATCCTTTGATTTTCCTTCTGATTGAATCTCTGCTAGCAGGTTATCACTTACCTTTCTTATTGAAATTGGGTATGGGAATGGAGAGATGGTATCAAGAAACCGTTACGGTTGATCAAAATATAGGGTGATCATCTTTCTGTGTCTTCCATTCTTATTTTTTTCTCTTGGTTGAATGAGCTCACTCAGGAAGAGTAAAGAAGATTTCAAAAATAATAAATGGTTATTTAAAGCCATTTCATTGACTAATTCTCTTATCTAAATCAAGTTTTGGCAAACTGTTGCCTGCAGGCCAAATCTGGCCCCATAGCCTGTTCTTTGAATAGCTCCTGAGCTATGGGTGGTTTTTACATTGTTAAAGGGTTGATAAAAGGAAGAAGAATACCCCCTTAAATATTTACACTCTGGCCAGACAGCAAAGAAAAAAAGTTTGCTGACTCCCATTCTAAGTCCTTAATTTCCACCCAGTTTGGCACCTGTACTGTTAACACTTCCACTTTTTTAAGGTATTGTCTGTATTTTTATATTAAACACATTTGCCATGAATTAGAAAACCTTTATGATTACCTCTGAGATAACATCCTCCACTAAGTCATTATTGTAGCTTATGGTTTCTGGCCCTTAATTTGTTTTCACTCATCTCCCTTGTCAGATTGGGTAGTGCTCTTTTTGGTCAGAAAACTGGATCCTCTGTCTTTCTTGGATGTATTCTGTATAACTTCAGCTATCAGTACCTTAATATTTATCCGATTCTTTCATTTGGATATTGGGTTTCCCAACACATTTTGCTCCTCAAATTAATATTTTTCAGATCCTCAAAAGAGAGATTCAGAGACCAAGACTTAGCATCACGTGACAGAGACAGGAATTCAAGAGACAGATCACCTCGTGACAGAGATCGAAAAGATAAGAAGCGGTCCTATGAGAGCGCTAATGGCAGATCAGAAGACAGGAGGAGCTCTGAAGAGCGCGAAGCAGGGGAGATATAATTAGCTGTGTACATATCCTCAATCCTTAAGCTTCCTATGGAGTTACATACTATTGTTTAGTTTACAGCTGTTGGGGGTAACAGTGAGCAGTTCCAGACTCCGATCCAGATAGGCTAGATGCACAGTATCTAACTTGATCTGAACTGAATTTGTTTCCCTGATGAAGCCTAAAACTACATCCATAGTTTCTGGTGAACCTGTAATGCGATTCTGAAAGTACAGTTTTATATAATAAGATGCCGATATCTATTCTTTCTAGTAGGAGTGATAGTGAACGAATTGTGTTGCTTGCCTTGGGATTTTTTGAACATTTGTAAAATGCTGTCTTCCTTTCTAGTCCACAAACAACAGCTTTCAGAACTTTTCTTTTTAATTCTTCTTCCTCTGACTTTTGTATCCCCTAATACCTCCACCCTCTAATTATAAGAGAAAGGGGGAGCAGGGAAGCAATATAACTTCTGTTCTAAGGTTCTGTTCCCATTTATTACTAGCTGATTACAGAGCATTTATACTGGAAAGTGTGTTAAATACTGAGAGTTTTTGTTTTGTTTTATGGTGCCTATTTAGAGTTGGAAGTTGAACAGCTGTTGCATTACATACTTTGCTTTTTTTATTGAAATTTTGAAATCAAACGTCTTGATTTTTCTGTTCTATTGAATTGCTATGTTCAGGATGTTTTGGAAGGGGGGTGGGGGCAGGGACTCTTTCATAAGCACTTGTTTTATTTTGTGTGTGTGTGTGGAGTATAAAGGCTACAACCTTATTGTAAAAATTAATAAAATGAAACAATCACCACCACCATCATTAAACTGTAACTTGTCTAGTAAATTGTCACTAGAACTATTTGCTGTGGGCCATTTCTTCTATTCTGTTATATCTTTTATTAGTGCCTTACTGTGCAAGGCACCAAAGGAAATAAATATATACTTGCCAAGATGAACTGTTGCTCCACCTGGGCCCTGTGCTGAGTGTATTCCAGCTACTTTAGGGCTGTTTGTAACAGTTGCTATGGAGAAGGACCAGACCTGGAAAAGAAATTGGGTTTTTGTTTTTTTCGTTCAGCAAACTAAAATAAAAACATCGTATACTCAACGTAATGAGAATAACAGTTTCTCCACTGAAGAGCTATGTACCTACTAGTGATTTTAAACAGTAGTTGGGAGGTATCCCTTGTGATTCTAGGAAATCTAGGAACAAAAATACTTGAGCCAAGTTAGGGTCTGTACAGTCACCTTCTAACAATTGTCTTTGGTCAATATTAATTTGGCAAATTTAATGTGAGGTACATGGGCCACAGAAAGAGAAATTCTAAGTCACAAATTTACATCTAAAAGGGACATTCACTAAGTTTACCAAGCTGTGTGTCATTAACTGAAGGTTTCCTGCCATATTTGGTTGCACACACCCCAGTTTATGCATAACTCAGTCTGAGACCCATCTCCCCAGTGGCCCATTTTCTTTTACTCTTGGTTTCTGAGAAAAAAAAATTTTTTTTATCTCCTTTGGATTTAGTACCTTGGAGTGTGGAGTAAGATCAAACAGATTAAGCTGGTAGATACAAAACGACTGTGACCAAACTCCAAAACATTGTTAAATGTTTTAGCATTGTTTAAGTTTACTATCTCTCTGCCTAATTGTATACATGCTTATTAGCTGTTAAGGCAGTTCTAATTTGTAGGGCAGTACTGGCTCCATGACTCAACAGGTCAGCAGTAGTCAGTGAAGGACATCATCAACTCGGGCTGGACTCCCATGTTAGAGCACTTCAACTGTCTGGCTCTCTAACAATCTCATTTTAAAAATCCTTTTAGAATAATTCTGTTGCTTAGGTACTTCTAATATTTGGACTTGGGGATAAACAATCTATATTTTAAATCATCACCCTTAAGCCAGGCAGCTACTCTGAATTAGAATAACCTTAAAATCTCATCTGTAAGAAGGTGGAAGAGGGGTTAGTACTATATCCTCCATACTGAGAAGGATCTTAAGACCAAAGATGATCCAGGGCATTGTACAGCTGTCTTCTTCCCCTATTTTCTAAGTCATATTTCCTGTAGCTGTCTGGACTTTAATCCCCGTATCTTTCGGAGCAAGGAGCATGATGGTGAGGTCACGGTTATCTTTAAAGTGGCACCACCTGGTATGGAAGGAAAGGTGGCAGCAGAGGACCCTAGGCTTGCCTCATCCCACAGACACAGCTATCCATTCATCCTAAATACCCCAGAAATCATCCTCAAGACTGGCAGACCCAACTCCACAAGTAAACCAAAGGTAGGAAGCATAGAGATGGAGTTTGGGGAGAAATGGGTCCTGGCTGCTGCAGAGAGGAGGGAGCCCTGGTTATGGAGAAGGTAGAGAGAGAGGGGGGAACACAAAAGGAGAACGTTTCCTCATAACCATTGGTCTGGAAAGTGAGAGGAGTTGAATTTGAGTTCTTGCAACCAGTGGGACTTAAAGCCAGAAGTTTTAAGTGTTGGCAGGCTGGGCTCCTGGAGAGTCCAGTCTGGAGGCATCGTAACTGCTCTTGGAAAGAAGGCAGGCAAACCACCTAGGGACAGACAGTGTGGAAACAGTGATCTGAAGAGTGCTGGCGGAACCCACGGGTCGGGGGCGGGTGTGTGGAGATTATTTTATCTTCTTGGAGCGTGACCAAAGGCAGCATTCACAGAGATACTGCTACAAGAACAAAGAAGCTGGCCTGCCCTTGCCCGCCCTTGTCTTCCCACATGCCTCAGTATAAACAGAGCCATCTGCAGGAACTGGCTGCCTAACTGGCTCACACCCCTGTGCTTCCGTAGAACTGCCCTCCTCAGTCAAGCCTGCTTTAGTCCCAAGTGTGGTGAGCCCCCTCATCCAGAAGACCAGCACAAACCCCTGCCCATACCATGTCTCCCGACCAGAGCCTCATTTCCAGTGAAGGTGATGATGACAAGTTTCATCTCACAGGCAGATCAAAGCCCACCTAACTAAAACTTGCCAGCTAAAACCTTCAGGCCAGGGACCACACACTGACCATGGCAGGCAAGGAGAGCTTCTGCAGATAAATGGCCTGAAGGATAGAGGAGCCAGAATACAGCAGAAAACACGCACCACACATGGAGACACTCCCTGAAGCACCAGGCCCTGGGCACTACATGACCTCTTCATAGGGCCATTACTTTAAGGAGCAGGAGACCTAATTGGCTAACCCACAGAAGCAGGCAGAGACTTAGACAAAATGAGATGGCAGGTGAATTTATCCCAAATTAAAGAACAAGATAAGGCCATGACCAGAGATCTAAGTGAAACAGAATTAACATGTCTGAGGAGAATTTAAAGCAATGATCCTAAGGATACTTGTGGAGCTTGAGAAAGGAATGGAAGACATCAGTGAGACCATTACTACAGAGATAGGTGTTTAAAAAAAAAATGCAATAAATGATATTAGAAGCATGCATGATGCAGTGAACAGCAGGCTGGGAGAAGCAGAGCAATGAATTAATGACTTCAAGTAATAGGAAGTAATCAAGTTGAACAAAAGAAAAAAAATTACACAAAACAAGAATAGACTTAGGGAACTCATTGACTCCCATCAATGCAGTAACATCATAGGAGTCCCGGAAGGAGAGAGACAAAGGGGACACAAAATTTCTTTGAAGCAGTATCTGAAAACTTCCCTACGCTGGGGAAGGAAACAGACATCCAGATGCAGGAGAGACAGAGAACACCCATCAACATAAGCAGGCCAACACCAAGACATAATTAAATTTACAAAATATAAGAAAACCTTAAAAGCACTAACACAAAATAAGACCATTACTTATAAGGGAAAACTCAACAAGGCTATTATTGGCAGATTTTTCATCAGAAACTCTCCAAGCCAGAAGGGACTGGCATGATCTATTCAAAGTGCTGAAAGGGAAAAATCTGCAGCCATCAATACTCTACCCAGCAAAGCTAACATTCAAAATAAGAAAAATACATTGTCTCCCAAACAAAAATTAAGGTTCATGACCACTAAACCTGCCCTGCAAAAAATATTAAAGGAGAAATAGAAGAGACAAAAAATGACAGTATGGAGGTCGGAAGCAAATGCAGTAAAAATGACTTTCTATTTAAAAAAATCCTTCAGGGGTGCCTGGGTGGCTCAGTCGTTAAGCGTCTGCCTTCGGCTCAGGTCATGATCCCAGGGTGCTGGGATTGAGCCCCGCATCGGGCTCTCTGCTCGGTGGGAAGCCTGCTTCTCTGTCTCCTACTCCCCCTGCTTGTGTTCCTTCTCTCGCTGTGTCTCTGTCAAATAAAATCTTTAAAAAAATAAAAATAAAAAAATCCTTCAAGGGACTTGCAAAAGATGCAAAATAGGACATATACCTAAAATGTGGGGAAGATAGGAGTCAAGAATGGGTTCAAATTTAAGCAACCATCAACTTAATACAGATTGCTATATGCAGAAGTTATATGCAAACCTAATGGTAACCACAAATCAATATATAAATATTCAAAGAATAAAGAGAAATTCAAATCGCTCAAGAAAGCCAGCAAACCAAATGACAGATAAAGGGTTAGTATCCAAAATCTATAAAGAACTTACCAAATTCAACACCCAAGGAACTAATAATCCAATCAAGAAATGGGCAGAAGACATGAACAGACATTTCTGCAAAGACATACAAATGGCCAACAGACACATGAAAGTGTTCAGTATCACTTGGCATCAGGGAAATAAAAATCAAAACCACAATGAGATACCACCTCATACCGAAGAGGCTAAAATTAACAAGTCAGGAAATGACAGATATTGGTGAGGTTGCAGAGAAAGCGGAACCCTCCTACACTGTTGGTGGGAATGCAAGCTGGTACAGCCACTCTGGAAAACAGTATAGAGGTTCCTCAAAAAGTTGAAAATAGAGGTACCCTACGACCCAGCAATTACACTACTGGGTATTTACCCCAAAGATACAAATGTAGTGATCCAAAAGGGCAGCTGCACCCCAGTGTTTATAGCAGCAATGTCCACAATAGTCAAAGTATGGAAAGAGCCCAGATGTCCATCGACAGGTGAATAAAGAAGATGTGTATATATACAGTGGAATATTATGCAGCCATCAAAAAATGAAATCTTAACCATTTGCAACAATGTGGATGGAACTAGAGGGTATTACACTGAGTGAAATAAATCAGAGAAAGACAAGTATCATATGATCTCACCAATATGTGGAATTTGAGAAACAAGACAGAGGATCATGGGGGAAGAGAGGAAAAAATGAAACAAGAAACCAGAGAGGGAGACAAACCATAAGAGACTTTTTTTTTTTTAAGATTTTATTTCTATTTATTTGAGAGAATGAGATAGAGCATGAGAGAGGGGAGGGTCGGAGGGAGAAGCAGACTCCCTGCTGAGCAGGGAGCCCGATGCGGGACTCGATCCCGGGACTCCAGGATCATGACCTGAGCCGAAAGCAGTTGCTTAACCAACTGAGCCACCCAGGTGCCCGATAAGAGACTTTAATCTCAGGAAACAAACAGGGTTGATGGAGCAGTGGGGGGTGGGGGGGTGGGGTGGCTGCGTGATGGACATTGGGGAGGGGATGTCTTGTGAGCGCTGTGGATTATGTAAGACTGATGAATCACAGACCTGTACCCATGAAACAAGTAATATGTTACAACAAAAATTTGGACATTTAAAAAAAAAAAAACGGCAAACCATGCAAAAAAAAGGATCAGAGAAAATCCCCACAAACCACCAAACAGTAAAATGACAATAAATGCTTGTCAATAATTACTTTGAATGTAAATGGACTAAATGCACCATAGGGTGACAGAGTGGATAAAAAAACAACAAAACAAAATAAGACCCATCTATATGTTGCTTACGAGAGACTCATTTAAAAAAAAATTTAAGATTTTGGGGTGCCTGGGTGGCTCAGTCAGTTAAGCGTCTGCCTTCGGCTCAGGTCATGA